CCAATAAGGGTCCCTTTTAGGGTGCTTATAAGTCTACCTACTACCTACTTACGAAGTCCCCCGACCCTCCAAGTAGTAGAATCTACCCCCCATGCAAGGGCCCCTATAATAATTGTAAATGCTTCGCTCGAAATTGACGCCCTCGGCCCGACGAGGGGCTTAGGTTTTTGGGGCTTCAGCCCCTAAGCCGAATCCTAATACAGTAGAAACAGAGTAACTAGGTAGGCCTTGGGGATATTTTGTATGTTCCCTTATTGGGCTTAATACGACCCTATTTACAAGAATTTTTCAGAGGCTTTAAAGGGCCAACCTAGGTAATGTATAGGGAATCCCAGCTCTATTTGGCCTCAATCCGGTTTCCAACCTTATGGGGCTTACCGTAAACCCGACGAGACTTCACTGTCCCCAGAGACTCCAAGATCCCTTAATTGAGGAAAATACTTTAAAGAGCGAACCCTGAGACTCCGTGCGTGGAAGACTGTTAGTATAGGGGCCACAAGTGCCTATACTATTTTTTGGGGGGCTCCTTCTCAAAATTGTCGTGTAATGGGCCCCAAAACCCTGCTCTAATTATTGAGGCTCCTATGTCAGGTCTTGGAACTTAGACTCCGCGCCGCGTGAACTGATCAACACCTTCCGGGATCTTTTGATTTCGAGATTCTTGAGAACTAGTACTTACTTTCGGTTCTAGACCCTAAACTGGCCTTAAACCCTAAGCCGTAAAGTCTATATATAACTTTAAATCCTAAACCCTAAAGTCTATATATACTAAACCCTAAACCCTAAACCCTGAAGTCTATATATATATATATATACATTAAACCCTATAGTCCCTACAGTTTGTTTTTGCTACCTACTTTGGGCTATTGGCAGCCCCAGGGTTGGGATTCCAGGCTTATGATCTCCTACATCTTGGCGCAGCCCCTTGCTGCCTCCTGGGCACCTGCGAAGAATCTGAAGGGCCAGACGCCTCTACATCTCTGTGCTCGCAGGACCTCATGCAAACTTCCATTTGGGGCCTAGGGCTCTATTGCCACCAATACTGCCACGATAATTACAGAGAAAAATTCGTGATAGGGTTTAGGGGTTTAGGGTTAAGGGTTTAGGGTTCATTCGTGCAAAGCGCGTAACTCGGTGCTGCCGACCGTTTGGTGCTCTTATGGTTTAAGGTTTTTGTGTCACGGTTTAGGGTTTAGGGTCCTGCGCGAGCCCCCCCAGAGACCCTTTACTTTATGTTCATGGGTAGTTAGAAGTAATTAATTAGGGTAAAAAGTCACCTAATATGGGCTATAAGTAGAAGTATAGTCACCCTACTTATAAGCCTACTTATAACAAAGTAGGGGTTTAAGGGGCACTCACTGCTCTCAGACATGCAGGTCTTTGAGTATGTGGCAGGCCCTGGCTGATGCACATGCAATGGCTTTCCAAGTGGTGCGTGATTTGTTTTCAGGATGATCAGGTCATACTTTACTAATTTATTGTTCGGATAGTGCTATTGCTAGTTTTGTCGATTTGAGCGTGCAGCCCCGACTGCCCCCTATCTTGCCCTTCCCGGCGAGACTGCACAGAGGCCGGGATGCGGAAGGCTCTAAGGGTTTACCGAAGGGTTCAGGGGTAGCCGGTAGTAGCGGCGGATGGCAGCTGCAGCTGCTCTTGGCCATAGATATGGTTAGTAAATTGTAAAACAAGTCCTAGCGTAATGGGTATTTGTAAGAAGAGTAGTCATGGTCGTAGTTAGTTGTCCTCGTCGTGGGTGGTGGCATCGTGGGTAGTAGCAGCACAGAGCTAGCAGGCTTGGTTGTCGACATAGTATCAGTTCTGGGCGATGGCCGCCGTCCAAGCTTTTCCGCGCATGTAGCACAATCAGTCGGGTAGATTGGGGTAGTTCGATGGCAGCAGCATAGCAGTATCAGTGCAAGTTGTAGTAGCACTGGTAGCAGCGGTAGCAACAGCAGTAGTCGTCGCTCCTCTTCCGCCTCCTCCTCCTCCTCCTCGTCCGTGTCGTCCTCCTTGTGGTCGTCGTGGTAGTCGTACGGAAGAGTGGTAGCAATAGTAGTAGTAGTAGTAGTAAGTAGTAGTAGTAGTAGTAGTAGTAGTAGTAGTAGTAGTAGTAGTAGTAGTAGTAGTAGTAGTAGTAGTCGTCGTTGTGGACGTAGTTGTAGTTTTGGTGATGTAGACGCGGTAGTATTACTAGCGCATGTGCTTTTTCAGCGTAGACAGCACTGTGGCATGAACAAGTTTCCGGCAGGAATCTCGCTGCCTCCGCAGAGCGGCTTCTTTCTTTCCCGGGCGTTTACGCTGCTTTGCTGCTGTAAGTAAGAGGTTGGCTTAAAGCGCTTCATGCCCGGGAGCTGGAGGTGGGTAGGAGGCAAGCTAAAGATCACATGCGAACGATTTGAGAGGCTGTTTTCAATCTGACAACCTCAGAGCCCTTCTTCAGCACAGCCCGTGGGATCATCCCCAAGGCTCGCCCTTCAAGAACCGATATGTAAGCGCACAAGCTTACGCCATGCATGAATCCTTTCACCCTTCACCCCGCCCCGGACCCAATCCCGACCCCGATCCCAAATCAAAAACTCTGCAACTCTAGAAGCCCTGAACGGTCGGAGCTCAATGTCCATGAGGTCGACGCACAGGATGTCTATGAGGTCACACCTCTGGTGGAAGCCGTGCGGCAGGACCTGCAAAGCTCTGATAAGAATGCAGTCTAAGGTTCGTTCAGACTTCATGAAGCCTCATGCCGCACAGCCCCAAAACCTGAACCCTAAAAGTTTGCCCGCCTCCCTCGAAGCTCGAATCCTCAAGACCGACGTACTGGTAGATCTGAAGCCCTACACTGAAATTCGGACTTCGAATTCACGGCTTCGGCAGCATGATCTAGGAAGAAGGATTTCAGAAGATAGGATACCAGGGTACGTGGTGACTACAAGCACTCGTTGCTTCATATCGAGATGGGAGTGTCCGAAAAACCGGGGACCCTAATATAGTACCCTAAATAGTAGGATCCTTATTATAGGGACCCCAAAATAAGGTACCCCTAATTTCCGGGAACTCCCAGATCTCAGTCCGTGGTTCATAGTGGCTGGTGATGTAGGCTTTCTGTGGTTTTCATATGGGGGGTTTCCGAAAATTAGGGGTACCTTATTTTGGGGTCCTTATAATAAGAACCCTACTATCTAGGGTACTGTATGAGGGTCCCCTATTTTCGGAAACTCCCATATAAAGGCAGGCCCTTCTCCAATGATCCAAACCGTAGTATGAGCCCAAACCCGACTATTATTGTCACTATTGCATGGTGCCAGAATCTTCTCCCAAAACCCTGAACCCTGGCAGGAGCACCTGGAAGTCTTCAAGGCGAAACACTTAGGTTTCAGTCTTCAGGCTGTCGATGGCTGTCGGATTCACGGTTCAGGGCGTAGGGGTTTAGGGCTTAAGGGCGGGCCTAGGGTTCATAGCAGAGCTCGGGAGCGAGAGCGAGTCCTTTGTCCTTGCTGCTAGCACTCGTGGGAGGCCAGTTGTTTAGGGGTTTAGAGGTTTAGGGTTTAGGGGTTCAGAGTTTAGGGCTTGAGGTCACAAGATTTCGAAGCCCAGGGTTTTGCGACAGAGGCCGTCACAAGGCGCGGCGTCCAGGCTGTGGAATTTCAGGTGTTGTAGCCGAGAGTCCTGAAAGCAGTTAAACGTAGCATGAAGCCAACTGGCGCACTTACCAAAACCCGGGTATATATAGTATGGTATACGAAGTATCATATAATATTGTAAGATACCATCATATACCGCCCTAGACCCTGGGTCTACCCATAGCCGGAAACTGTGAAAAACTCCGGAAATCCTTCACCTACCCCATGGAACCCCAACATAAGAAGCTGGGATACGTACCACTTTATTCCTTAGGGTTCCTCGTTTTCCAAAGCTTTATTGAAATTAGGCACCCCCTAAGCCCTAAACCGAGGGACCCTCTAATCCCTTGTGTGTTTGAAGCTGCAAGGTGCTTCTCCGGGCGTGTCCTGGCCGCTTATGCTGCCCGAATCCCTGACATGCCTTGAGCTTTGAGTTTTTAGGGTTTGTCGCAGGTTTGCACCAGCATTTGGAGGCTGGGGTTCCGGGTGGGCGTCTGGGATTGCAGGTTACTGACAATTTTCTAGGACCCAGAGTAGGCCCTTATTCCCTTTTTAAGGGATCAGGTTCCCTTACAAGCCCCTTTAAACCAAAAAGGGCACTCTTTTTATTCCTAGGTTACTCTTGGGCCTAGTTTTTGGAAAGTTGACAGCCGCGTGGTTCTCACCATTGGTCATCATGTCTGCCCGAGCATCAGGCCATCCTGAACCTGTAGCAGTAAGCCTTAAATCCCACAGCTGAAGAGCCGGTACTATAGTTAGAAAGCACGACAGCACGACTAGCTTGAGCCCGACACCCTCTAATTTGCACACCCCCTGCCAATTAAGATAGGTTTTGGGTATACTGTACAATACTATACCATACTCTACTATACAATAAACAGCAGGGGCTAACAGGAGATATTGGTTCAAAATGTTCAGACGCCTGAATCCCCGAGAAAGCAGCCAATGAAGTTCAAGACGACACAGGCATACTTACAACAACTGGCTGCATTTTTGCCACCACACCTTAGGGTTGCTCAGAACGAGACTCTAAACCCTAGACCCTTCGCGCTTCGACAAATGCTAAAGCTGATGGGTAACGTCATCATAATTGATATGTTACGTCATGAACTAGTGGGAATTAAGCCACGCAACACTTCTTCATTATTTAATGCTTAGACAGGCTTCCAGTGCACCGACTCGATCGTTCCTCGCCATGGAGTGGATGGCCAAATTCGGAAATTCGGCAAGCTGATCTTTGTCATCCTGGTTTGGATAGGTGCATCCAGAGGGGTTGAGCTCTGCTTGCAAAATGGAACAGCAGAGTCGCAGCGCCAGTATGTCCTCAATTCCAGCAACCAGCAGAGTCCAATCCGGCTGAAGTCGTTCTCCTGGAGATCTGCAATGGTGACCAGCACTGTAGCTGAGATTTTGATTTCGGAAGTGCTGGGATATCATGCTGTTGTTGATCCTGAAACCAAGTTTACCGTTGAAGATGGAATCGTGGCGTTGGCAGGTTGCCCGAGCATTGATTGCGATGTGAAAGGCACCCGGAGTGATATTCTATTGGACACTTGGTTGACGGGTGCTTTGCCGTTTTTCGAGGAGTTTCAACAGGCGCAGGGTCAAGCTGCTGAAGACTTGGGATCTATGGGCTACGTGGGTGGTGATGGCCTTCACATGAAGGGCCCCGTGTTAGAGGCTGCAGCAAGTGATGGTGTGGCCCTGGAGTATTACAAGAGTTACAACCTGACATTCCATGAGCCACAGAAGTATTTTGACACATTGTGGGATTTGCCTCAGGATCAACTCTTGAAGTGCAATGACTCCTTCAACGATGCCCCTTTGGATTCCATCGTTTCTGACCGAATGAAGAACTATCTGGACTGGACAGGGGATGTTGATGGGGTGGTGGAACAGAATGGCCAATATGCAGCGAACTGCCCCACAGCCACATCTTCGGCATTTTGGATTGCACCTGCTTGCCGGCACAACTACACCAAATGTATCCCGGCTTTGATGCTGGGCCCGGGCCAGTTGCCATCTGATATGCAGTGGGCAGTGGCATATGGTCTTCCATTGGCACTGACACATGCGCGGGATTTCGGTGACTAGGTAGGGCTTTGGGACATTTTATATTTTCCCTTATTGGGCTTAAGAGGATCTTATTTACTAATCTTTTTCAAAGGCTCTAAAAGCAAAACCTAGGGGACATGATCCAGTTGGTGCGAAATAAGCGGCTGCTCTACTACTGGTGGTATCCAGACGAGACGTTTTTGGACCTGAAGCATTCCAGAATCATTCTCCCTCCACACAGCGAAGCTGCATGGTTGAAGGGCGATTTTCGAACTGCATCCAGTGATGTGAAAATTGCGAAACTTGTGAGTTCGCACCTTCGCATCTCAGCGCCCAGAGTGCGGATGTTTGTGGAGAGGCTGAGCTTGGAGGCAGGACAGCTGCTGCAGTTGCTCGAAGGCAGCACTTTCGAGGCTTCTATCGAGGACAGGTGGATTGTGCTGCGCCAAAGTGCTTGCCAATGGATCAAGAACAACGATGACGTTTGGAAGAAGTGGATGCCGGTTGCCACCGACTGCACGCTAGGATATGGCCTGGCCGATGCTCAAGGTTTGCCTGTGATGTCTTTGGCTGGATCCGTGGACTGTCAGATTTGTCCAGCGGGTCGATTCTCGGAGCCCTTCTTGCGTGACGGTGGGCAAACGTACCGCTGCCAGCCCTGCGACCCTGGTCACCATCAAAGCCGCTTTGGTCAGAGCTATTGCCTACCATGCGACCCAGGCAGCTATGCAGCGGAAGCAGGGGCAGCAGTTTGTTCGCCCTGCCAGCGAGGAAGCTTCGTGAACTCCACCACAGCAACCAGATGCTTTTCCTGCGGGCAGGAAGAAGTCTGGACAACAAGTAAGGCTGTACAAGTTGGGGAGCAGGAGAGGTGGATTGAAGTGCAAGGAGCATCCTCGGAGAGTTCTTGTCGCTGCGTTCAAGGACGTTACTTATCATTTGGTCAATGTGAAATCTGTCCTTTGGGTAGTTCATGTCCCGGCTCCGGAGAGTTAACGCTTCTTCCTGGTTTCTACTCGACAGAACGTGAGCCCGGTGCAGTTCTGGAGTGCTTCGGCAATCCGGTGCGGTGTCCAGGTGGCTTGCCGGGAACTTGTGCAACTGGAAGGGACTCAACGAGTCCTGCTTGCAGTTCTTGTCTTCCGGGCTTACAGCCGAACAATGCTGGGGAATGTGTTCAGTGCACAGGTGGAGATTACGCCGCACTTCTCACATTGGCCTTGGTTGTCTTGCTTGGGACTGCGATTTTGCACATCTCGCTGGCAGTTTTGGACAGGACAAGTGGCTCCTGTCACAGTGCTTTGTTGAGTGCCGCATTGTGTCTGAATCAGCTGATCACAAGTGCTCAGCTTTTCGCTGTGTTGGAGCAAATGCAAAGTATCAGGTGGGAGGACCCATTTTCGAGTTTTCTCCAGTTCTTCCGAATCCTTTCTCTTGAAGCATTCCTTGACTCGGTGAAGACAATCGGTTGCATCACTCGCATCAGCTCCGAAGTCGCCTTCTTGATTCGGACCGTAGCGGCGCCGCTGTTCTTCGCCATTGGGCCTTTGATTGTGCACCTGATGATCATCAGAACCAGCTTCGCGCTGCACGCGAGTAGCCTCATGAAGACTTACGGCTTCCTCTTCGTGCCTAGGACCCAGAGTAGGCCCTTATTCCCTTTTTAAGGGATCAGGTTCCCTTATAAGCCCCTTTAAACCAAAAAGGGCACCCTTTTTATTCCTAGGTTACTCTTGGGCCTAGGTGCTCTTCTACATAACCTTGTCCGCCGCATTTGTCGAGCCATTCCGCTGCAACGTGCATCCAAACGGCTCGCTGACCATGCAAACAGCTCACGACGTGTTCTGCACCTTTTCAGGTGGGTGGTTGTCAAAATTATGGTCACCTTTTGGGTCCTTATTGTAATACGGCACCTAAATTTTTAGGGTTCCCAAAAAGGGGCCCTATTTTTGAGAACCACCCAGGTACCCACATGACTTTGGCTGTGATGAGCGGCTTGATTTGTCTTCTGCCGATCAGCTTCCTGGTCATGTGCTCCTGGGTGCTGGTGACTTTGCCGAGACGTGTTGCGGCAGGAAACGCAGCTTTTGTGAGGGCATGTTCGTTCTTGATTTTGCGATTCAGACCAGGCTATGAGGCATTCACGGTTGCTTTCCTGCTGAGAAATGTGGTGATCGTGCTGACACCCATCATGAACTCATCTAGTGGCATGTTCGTGATGAGCAACCTCCTTGCATTGACGGTCGCATCAGTTGCGTACTTCAGACCGTGGCGATCGGAAATTGCTACTCGAGTTGACATCGTGGTGAGCTCCGTGTTGCTGAGTGTTTTGTTTTTGGGAGCACTTACTGTGAATGATTCACAGAAGCAGCCGCTCATGGTTCTATGCACTGTATGTGGCTCCTTCATAATAATTGCCCTCATCGTGGTGGCTTTGTACTCGGTGGTTCAACATATTGCTTCCAAGTTCCGCAAGAAGTTCGCTTTCTTCCTGTCGCACCACAGATCTGCTTCTGCTGGGTATGTGCGGTTGTTATATAAGTATGGAGCTCAAACAGCGCGGGTCGCAGTTCACTACCTTCATTGACTCCGACAATCTTACAGATCTTTCGCAGCTGTTCTCATATGTCAGTCACAACACCCAGACCTTCGTTCTGCTTGCAACTTCTGAGATTTTGAAACGCAAATGGTGTATGGGAGAGCTTGTGATGGCACACCTAGCCGAAGTGCAGACCATATTGTTGACTTTTCCGGACTTTGATTTGCCAGACGATGCCTTCATTGATAGCTATCCAAGAGTTGTGCCTGATATTCGGGATCTCGCTACCTATGGTCTTGGACTTTCAGAGGTGCAGGATACCCTCCGGTGGTTACATACAGTGAGAAGCTACGCCATCGCCCCCGACTTTTCGAGAAAGAGTGTGGCCTTGACTGTCAGCGAACTGACTGGAACGACTAGCTATGCAGAGACCAAGCAGCAAGGCGCCATGTCCGACTACCTGATCTTAGCAGACCCCGAGAACATGGAAGCCATGGCCACCGCTGAAGTCCTTGGGCACTTTCTGGTGTCCATCCTTCCCGAGCGAGGCCTCTCCGCACGGGTGCTCACTGCGGATGGCAATGTTGCCAGGACGGACACTCGACTTCTCCTTGTCTGCACACGGAATTGCTTCCAATCTGGCCATATCGCGCGGTGGCTGCTTCAAGCCCGTATGGTACCCGACTGTCAGCTCCTTCCAGTGAATGCAGATGAACTGTTTCAGCTTCCGAGACGGATCGATGATGTTGCATACGCTCAAATTATCAAGGCAGTCTTCGTGGAAGTGGCGCTTCCGTTCATTCCTTCTCAAAGCTCTGAAGTGGACTTGGCCATCAGAGCTCGGCAAGTAGCTTTGCGACTGTATGGCAACTTGAAACGTCTGCGCACCAAGATGATGATCGTGGGGAAGACCACTGAAATCTCGGAAGAAGTCCTGGAAGCTCCGGAGCAACTGCAGGGCCCACCTGAGGGCTCTGATTCAGAAAGTCTCAATGGCAGTCTCTTGGTGGCACTTTGGGAAACTTGTCAATTTGCCTTTATGGTTTCTATAGAGGTACCTATCCTCAAATACTTTGAAAGGGCCCCTAAACACTACAGCGCAGGTCTTCAGAACTTCAGCAGCCAAGAGGTTCAGGTCAGGGATGGTTGTGAAGCGACGCCAGACGGGCAGGCTGCCTCAAGTCAGGCAGGGTATGTCACAGTCGTTTTCTAGCGTACACATATATATATATATATATATATATACGCATGTATATGTATGCACATATAACATAATAACATATACATGTATATATATATATATATATATATATATATATACATACTGATCATGTCTGTCTATTTGTTTTCTATCTACCTGTCTATCTAACTATCCATCGAATAAAAGCTATTTATACACATCTCTGTTATGTGCATATATATATATATATGTGTATACACCTATGCTTCTTACATCATATGTATGTATGTATGTATGTATGCATGCTAGCTGCTAGTATGTATGTGCGTATGTATGCAACAGTCATATATGTATATGCACATGCGTAGGCATATGTGTATAATTTATGTGTGTGTATATCTGTATATATATAGATAGATAGGTAGATAGATAGATAGATAGATAGATAGCGACTGTGATGTGCAGATGTAGAGAGATTCGCACGCTAAAGGCTACAAGCCTGGTGTTTTTAAGTTGTGCCCAGCCTTGGATGCGCAAAGCGCATGAGTTCGGAGTGTTCAGCCTTCGAGGTGAGGCGGGCGTGAAGAGCATGTGCACTCCAGCCCCTGTTGTTACAGTATAGTATAGCATAGTATAGTATAGTATAGAAAAGTATAAAAGAAGAATGTAGGCATGGGGGTACTTTGAGTGTCGGGAAGCACTCCGAAGAAGATCTCAAGGAGGATTGGAAGGATCCAACAGGATCCTTGTCTCACCGAGAAGACCCGCAGCACCTGTGTATTTGTATTGTGGTAGTAGGGTTTAGGATTTAGGGTATATGTGACAATGTGTGTATATACGAAGCGAAATGCATGACAGGTGCACAGGCTTCGCAACAGCTGAGCAGAGGCTCAGGTCAACAGCAGACGGTGTTGAAAAAGGGCGCTTCCCAAAGCTGCCTCGCTTGCAGCCGTTGATCCTAGCCATGCGAGAGCAGAAGCACACGTGTTGATGAGGAAACCCTAAACCCTGATGAGGAAAGCAGATGTAAACCACTTCATCCCGAACTGCCACGGGCATGGCGACACGCCCTTGGCCGGGAGCCGAGCCATGCTTTCAGTGGAGCCGTTATTTTAGGGGCCTTAATAATTACCTATACTATTTTAGGGGTTCCTTGTTATAATTATGGTATAGTTGGCCCAAAACCCTATTTGATTTATATTAAGGGCTCTTTAATGGGGTCTAAAAATAGGTCATCGGGTTTTCATCATACTAGTATATCTTTTAGGGTTCCATAGTTCCTTTAGGGTAGAGGCTTGGGTCTAGAGGAGGTTGAAGGTTTGGGTTTAGGGTTGAGGTTAGGGGTTAAGGTTGAGGTTCGGACGCTTAGGATTTGGGGCAGGGGTTATATAAAGTTCATAATTTACGTTCGCAACTTCGGAGCCTAGCGGCCGTCACTTGCGACCCGAGGTGCAGAGTTTGGCTAAAGGGTCATAGAACGCGGTGAAGGTATCAGCACGCACAGAAGGGCACATGCTCATAATGATGGTGGCAAGGTCCGTGTATACAACTAACAACTGACCCATTTGGCACTGCAAGCGGCTGTTTATGTCCCTGTTTGTCAAGACTGCTTTCTTTGACGTCATGCACAGAGAAAGAGCCATGGGTGCATGCCTGTTCCATCCGGGATCGGTTTGTTTTTGGTTTGTTCCGTGCCAGTTCCGGTTGTGTGTTGGAACATTTTGCAGTCCAACTGCAAGCTCGCTGATGTTTCGGCATGACCACCATTTCAGGAGTGAGTGTCGTTTTAGGGAGAGCTGGCAGCGGCACTGGGAAATCCGCCGTTCCCGTGCCAGTCGCAGATGTCGTAATGTTTGTGTTGGGACCAAGTAATGTAGGAACCTGATTCAGAAACCCCGGGTCTATAACCCCAAAATAGTCGGATTCATATCAGGAACAAAAAGGCCCAAGGTTTAATCATCGGATTCCTACTGTTGATGATATAAGTACCTTAAAAATACCAATAATAAGGAATATACCATTATTCCCATAGTTTAGGATCCTTAAGGTACTGCAGGATTTATATGACAACCCTAAACCCTAAACCCTATTAAACGATAGACCCTATAGAGCCCTCAGAGGAACCCTTTAAAGGTACCCTTATAGATCCCTTGAAAGGAACCCTAGGATTTATATCATCAACCGTACATCAGGCTTGTTTTGCAGGCCAGGCCAAAGCAATCCTCGAGTAAAAAATCCCATGCTCGCCCTCGAATCGAAACCTCCGGTTCCGGGCCCAAAAGAGGAATGTGTACATATGTATATATGTATATATGGTGGCAGCCGCAAAGTTGGAAGATGCGCACCCAAAACTTCAGCACCCCACACTTGAAATAAAACAAATCTTCCAATTTTGGATTCTTCCAAGTTTGCAACCTTCCAACTTTTGATTACCGCATGAACCGCTCCAAATGCCGGGACGTAAAGTTGGAAGATGGGACCAAATCAGACCCAATATTTAATTGCAGTTTCTCGTGTCTCTCTCTCTCTCTCTCTCTCTCTCTCTACAATACTTCACTAATTGCAGTTTTTCTCCCTCTGCAATAATACTGGAGCGGCCATGGTATTTGCAGCTTCTCTTTTTCTGCAATACTGGAGCGGTCGTAGTAATTGTGCAACACTGGAGCGGGCCTAGGAATTGCAGTTTTCTCTCTCTGAAATATTGGAGTGGTCGTAGCATTTGCAGTTTTCTCTCTGTATAATGCTGGAGCGGAGGTAGCATTTGCAGCTTTTCTCTCTCGGCAATACTGGACTGGTCGCAATACTTGCAACTTCTCTCTCTCTCTCTCTCTCTCTCTCTCTCTCTGCAATACTGGAGCGGTCGTAGTAATTTGCAGGTTCCCTCTTTCTGCAATACTGGAGCGGTCGTAATACTTGCAGTTTCTCTCTGTCTCTCTCTCTCTGCAATATTGGAGTGGTCGTAGTAGTTGCCGTTTCCCTCTCTCAGCACTACTGGAGCGGTCGTAGTAATTGCGGTTTCTCTCTCTGCGTTACTGCAGCTGCTTCCCACAAACCGAAAGTTGGAAGATACCGTTACCGCATCAACCGGTCCAAACGCCGGGACCTAAAGTTGGAAGATGGGACCAAGTGAAACCTAAAGTTGGAAGATGCCGTTGCCGCATTAACCGTTCCAGTTGCCGCCTTCCAACTTTCCGGCGGCTACTGTATGTATATATGTATATCATTTGATCTTTTTGTAATCTGTTCTACTCTAATAAAAAAATTTGGTATCATGTTATATCATAGTATCTTATGTACATATACATATATATATATATATATACTCTCTCTCTCTCTCTCTCTCTCTCTCTCGCTTTTTCATGTTTTCCTCCGAACACCCCGGAGCCCCAGCTTATAGCACCACGGACATCCCACCACGCCTGAGATCCTGGCCGTTCGCCTTCAGAACGCTGTGCCTGGGCATCAGACTCCTTGAACTGAGTAGCTGAGTAGGCAGCCTTCAACCTTGTGGGTTCTACAAGAATTCTACCATAACTGAAAAAGGTTAAGCTTTTTTTGGGCTAGGGTACTCTGAAAGCCGGTTTTGGGCTCAAGGCCTTAGAATCCTGTAAAGCAGTACTGCGTAGACCTCAGACGGGTGGCCAAAAAGCGCATCCCTTCGAGCTCCTGTAGAAAACTTCTACGGAATCTTTTCTAAGGGGCCTTAAAAATTACCTATACTATTTTTGGTGGTATTTCCTGATATAGTAGAAAGAGCTCCAAAACCCTATTTTACTTATTAAGGCTCCTACATTAGAGCCCTCAACCCTGGTTTAGGTTCCCGGCGCCACTGTGCGCGACGGGGGATACGTGTTGGGTCCCGACAGTG